TTTATTGCTAGCATATTAGATTAAATTTTTATTTAACTATATATTGTTTCTTTTATTTTCGTTCAACTTCTATGTTTCGACAGTTTACTTTATTTTATATAATAATTTTTGATAGTCCCTTTTTTTCTTAGTTTTTTAAAATTATGAGCCTTATTACTAATAGATAATTTAATTTCTTTGATTTCAACATCATTTCTTTAATTGAAACGTCATTTTTTTAAATCAAATAATTTCTTTAAATTTAGTTTTGCGATCTTGCGATACAAAATTAATATTTATACATATAATAAAATAAATAAAAAAAAATTTGAATTTATAAAAAATATGTATACATTATATCATTTTTTTATTTATTTTATTGGAGGTTCTTATTATTTAACTGTAAATTTAGTTTTGCGATTTTGCGATACAAAATATTAATTTCATTTGTACACTACAAATTTATAAATGCATGCAAAACTATTACAATGAGTCTCAAAATTACACGTAATGTTGTAATTATGCATAGAAATTTTTTACAGTATTAAAAATTTTTATGCATAATTATAATATTTTGTGCATAATAAAAGTATTATTATGAATATTGACGAGTGAGAGACACCGGGGTATCTCACTCGTACTAGTAACAAATGTGTGAGAAGCGGAAGGACACCGCGGAGCTAGCATCACATCCAATTACGTTTTCTCTCTCAATTGTTCGCCTTGTGTTAAGGACAGAATATCGGAACGCCCCCGCACTATTTTCTCCCTTCGCGCTCCTCGCCTCCTTCACGTTTCCAGTAACACATGCGTGTACACTTCGATACGAGTGTATAGTACCGCACGCCGAACACCAGGAAACACTATTGCTGTCGATGCGCTGCAATATTTCAACAACATTGCAGCAACATAAAAATGTCGTTTTAAAAATATTGATACGTAATGTTGCAGCAATATTACAATATAATATATATGCAATATTAGGTTTTGCGCACAGTGGAGGAATACTTGCAGTATTATTGCAGAAGTATTGTAATAATGCAGCGACATTGCTGTAATATTACAACATTACTGCAATATTTATTATAAGATTTTGTACTATATAAATTTAAATATAAAAAATTAGAAACACATATTCGACGTGTTTCTAATCTTAGTCGAATTACTCCGATCCCGGGGTTAATTGAATCAAATGCATTAGAAAAATGCATTTTTTTCATATTAGTTATCAGTTTTCCTTTATTATTAAAATATTATTATTAGGTAGTCAAATGTATGTAGTAACTCGTGTAGAATTCATTTTTTCGATAAGTCTCTTCATTTTATTTGTAAAAATTCGAAACTGAAAAATAAGTCTATTAGCTCCGGTCTCCTCTACGTATTGTGAACTATAAATTTTTGAATACTAGTTGTGCATATCGGAACACGGCCTATACGTCTTATATCTTATTATTGTGTCCATTGTGCATTATATTTAATCCTTATTTCTAATTGTTTTATGTCTATAAATTAGAGGCACAGTTCCTATAAATTATAGACTATGTTTACATCTTATGCCCGTTTCCGCTAATGTAGATTAACTTTAATTTCGGTTCAACTTACTCTTTGTCTTTTTCTAATCTTTAAAACTAGAAAAAGAAGAAGATAAGTTGAACTGAGATTAAAATTAATCTATATTGATAGAAATGGACATTAATTGGGTTTAATAATATTCGTAGTTAGAAACTAACCAGTCATTCCATTTTTCAGGAATATAATTATGAGATTGGTCAGTTTAACTACAGATGTTACGAAAATGTGCCGATTAAGTGTGCCGTGTAAACGTGATTATTAATTCCTATTCTTCCATTATGTCCAGATTCTTACTTTATTGGATTATACACAAATCGATATATACAAGTCTTAACACTCGAAGTGAACTTTCTAGCAGAGGCACAAATCGACACAAGAATCATTCTTTGTTTTTGAACTGATTTTTGAACAAAGACAGGATGACTCTTGTATCAATTTGTGTTTCGCTGGAAATATTTTAAAAATACTGCTGCAACATTGCTGAAGTAATATTGCAAAAAGAAGTTCTCGCAATGTTTCTGCAACATTGTATTGCAATATGCAACACTGAAATGTTGCAGCAATGTTGCAAAGTTCCTGTGCTGTACGGACAGTAGAGCCTCTCTAAATTTGGCCCATAATGTGATAAGAATGGAATGCCAAAATTATAAAGTATCCTCTCTACAACACGAGTCTACCAATCACCGTGTACTTGCGCGAACGCAGTTGCACATGCTAATCTGTCAAAAGATGCGCAACACATGTCCAGCCTACATACATATCCATGACATGGAAGAAGCATGACATTGAAGGAGCATGGCATTTAGTGTTTGTAAAAGTACGTGTGAGGAGTGCAAAGATTACAGAAATTTAGAGAGACTGTACTGTAATAGGTCGAACGCGCGTATTCGGCTATCTTTAAATGTTAATATCTCGTTAACTATTGCGAGCATTGTAAAATGGTAGAGGACTTTTCGACTCAATTTAGTCCGCTCTACCTACTCAAGACGGGACCATAAGTTGGAGCCCTGTAATAGATAAGTATCCTTAGGTTTGTTCGCATCGCATGCCCCTTCCCATTTTCCTCTCTCCCCCTTCTCATTCGCTCTTGTTTTGTCGCCCGTTTTCGCGTTGTTTCTCGCGTTCGTTATCGGTTTCTCTCTTTCTTTCTTTCGCAATGTTTTCTTTCTTTCTTTTCTGTTTTTTGTAATTGGTTTTCTTATGTAATAACTAATAGCGAATTCAGTTGGATGCACAGTGGTGCATATTAAAACCGTCGTACACTGATTTAATCTAAGTGAAAATGAAATACTTTAATTTATAAAATATATATTTTATATAAAGAATATGCGAATTTTCTTCAGATCCATTCTTAGAATGATAACGTTTCATGAACTTTACACTTCAATAAATATTTTATCAATCAGCGCAATAAAATATATGAAGGATTTCATTGTCATTTTTTCTATTTACATTAAATACATCTTTATGTCAATTTGTATATAATGGCTTTAATATACATTGAGTGCGTCTAACCGAATTCGCTATGCATATATCATGGGAGCGATTCACTTTTCTTACTTTTTTGTGAGAATGTAATGTTTCAGTCACCGACAAACATTATAAAAATTGTTACAAATTGTTAGAATGCAAATTTTATTTTTTAAAAATTCAAGAAGTTTGCAATTGTCAACTGTTTCAGTGAAATTATCGAATGACTTACTTCATATTTTTTGTGATAGTATCTTTCCAACATTATTCACCTGAAGTTAGCTTAGATTTTTTTGAAATAAGCGTCAATGACAAAAAATTGGAAATAAAATATTTTCTGAAATTTCTGCGCTCGAATATAACTTAATTTGGTAAACTGTTTATAATTGACAATTATGAATTTCGAATTTTTTGAAATTACATTCTACATATTGATATTTAAAAATTTCAAGGAATGTTATTTGATGATTGGAACATCACTGATTTTTACTACATAAGCACTTTTAACATACATATACAATTTATTGATTCTATTTCTAAAATTTGTTTTTTTCAGAAAATACACTGAACAAAAAGGTTGCATAATAGCTACCAAAAGTATTAAAATATGGTTAACTAAATGTTAATGTGGTTAATACAACCAAACACATTTACAAATATTTATTGAATATTATCAATGGGTTTATCTAGGATTTACATTAAATATTTATAAAGATAAAATGTGGTTGTATTGACCAAAATATTTTGTTAATCATATATTTTAACCATATAACATACAATATTTTAAATTTGATAGCTATTACCAAATTATTTTTACAGTGTATCTGATATCTGAATATATTCCTTGAAATATAATACAATGTAGCTCAAGGTCTGTTTTCTAAGTAACTAAAAAAGTAAAACAGTCATAGTAAAAAATGATTGTTCCTTGAAAATTTGAAAGCAAAAAATTAATTTACCTATTGCACATGCTATTTCTATTTAAATTATATCTTACCATCTTATGTTTATGAAATTAAAAATACAGTAAAAATCAGTAAAAAGCAGAATTTGTATTTTAGAATATAAAAATGATACACAATACATATAAAACCTAAAATTTATTAAAAAATTGTTTATGAAATACTTTAAATTGAATTACATAATACATGTTTAAACTATTATAATGAGAATTTTTCTATTAAAAAAGCATAAACCTGTGATTGTTTTCTTAAAAGCATTTAAAAAGTAGAATTTCTGTTTTTGTAATTGAAGAGTCTTTATTATACTAGTTTGAATTTGTATTATCTAAATTCTAAATTTCAGTTTGAAATAATTTATTGATATAAAATTTTTATAAAATGAATATAATAAGAATAGAGCTACGAGCCAAGCAAGATCTTAACGCTATATTATTAAAAAACAGTTTATTGTAACAAACGTTTCGACTCGAATTGAGTCATTCTCAATGTTAACCTTGACACAATTTAAAATCAACTACTCATTTAAATGACAAAACATGTGATGTGATTTAGCCAGAAATTATAATGTATAAAATTCATCATTATGTATGTACCACTATAGTTGTGAGAATCGATATATGAACGTGAAAATGTACAATAGATATATTACAATGCTTGGTAGTCGTTAACGGTTATCTTATAGAGTAAACCTTAAAAAACGCAGTCGCAAAGGCTTAGAATTACATAGACTGATCAATGAATCAATTCTGAGTTCAATAACTGGTAACTGATAGTGAACTATTTAAGAGCAACATTTGACTATAGACAATTGAGATATCCTGATAACTAGAATTTAGCCTTTAGGAAAGTTCTAGTTATTATGATATTGCGCGCGCAGTCCTTATATGCATACGATTGGCTATCGGTGACGACTGCCTTGCCGCGCAAGCGCTGTACTGTTAACTGTTCTCTGTCCTGCGTTGTGAACTCCTGATTGGAGCTTCGTGTGGTCACTACGCCGCTATGCTGGCATGCGGTTTGGTACGGTGTACTCTTTTAATGTATTTATCTAGGTTGCACGTGCTCGATATTTTTGTGTGTATCTTAATAAATCAAGTGTATTTGTATATTGCCTTATATCGACCTTATTCCTCATATTAGAAGTGAGATATTTCTCTCACTTCTCTGGTTGCTTCTCTGGCCATTTTTTCACGCTCAAGTGATTTGTCTGACTCTACGTAACATTTGACGCAGTGCAATGGGACCGACGGGGAAAGTTTTATACTATGCAAAACATGAATAGAAAACAAGTATGCATAATTTATTGATTACGTTACGGCTGCCATCCGTGCTTTTTCCCTAGACATTGTCTTTTTTTTAATTAGTTTTTTTGTAATTATCTGGAAAACCTCCCGAACGTCCTACAAGTCTGTAAGAGGACAATGCCTAGCAAAAAAAAGGACGGAGATGACAATTCTAGGTTTACACGAGAAAATTATTTTGCAGCCTGACCTATATTTTAGTATTTTAGATCGGGTCAGCAAAAAACGAGGCCTAATGTAAAAAGAAGATAGAGGTTATCTACTAAGGAAGGAAAGAACTAATAGAGAATAGATTTTCCATGAAGAATATATGTAGGTACAGTACTCTGCCTATCTTTAACGACAATTATTTAAAAGGAAAAACAAATCTTTAGATAAGAAATACGTATTCCTTCGTTCTTTCATTTCATTAATCAAGAAGGGAAGAAACTAAGAGAATAGATTTGCAGTTAAGGATAAGCACAATATTCTGCCTATCATTAATGGAAAAAATTATTCAAAAACACATATTTAGATATGTTTTTCTATTTAAATTTCGCAATTTATTTAATAGCTTCTCAAAGACATATTTACAAATTAGAATTTAACTTTTCTGTCAATGCATGGATCGATATCCAGAAATATCCATTTTGAATTAAACATAAATTTTTTTTATTTTTATACGAATTTCGTTATGGTACTTCTGATTCCTATCTTTGAAACAACAAAGAACAATGTCACACAGATCTTTACTATTTGGCACTATATTTCTACTGTTTTCATTTTTATATTTTTAAGATGTGTGATTTTTTAATGTGTGAGTCATAATTCAAAACATTACTAAAAGTATAAAAATTTTAGATTATTCTATTATTATCTTTCTCTGAATTCTCTGAGTTTGATCTTAAACTTTAGAATAATTTTGTTATTAGTTTAAAAGTTATTTAATTTTTTGTTTTTCATGTAAAATCACATTTTATTTATAAATTTAATGAAGAAGTAGTATTATGAATTAAATTTTATTTTTTATATATATTTTACTAATAAAGTTTTAATAAATATTCATGCCAAAGTTAATTTGGATTTACACACACACCTACTCATTTACAACTTATTTACCTAAAATTACACTAAAATATGATAATTGCACAGCATGAGCCATTAAGAGCTAAATAATTTATCTTGTTTTTTGCATTTGGTTTCAAAACGTATTTAACGACAAAATCGATTTTAATTTTTTTTGACTGATATTGTTGATACAATTAAAATATCATTAATAGGAATCTAAAATTAAATATTGATTAATGTACGGTTGAGTGAACGTATCCGAATAGCTATTACCAATTTCTTACAAATATGAAAAACTGGAGTAACGTTTGGAAATTTTTTTATTCTTAATAAATAATAATCAGTTCAATAAAATACATAATCCAATCTGTTATTTAAATTAATGAGTTGCTGATAATCTATAATTTATCTCGAATTCCGTAGTTCATAATGTATCATTGTGTCAATGTATCAATCTTTTATCAATCTTTTTTCGTCGCCAAGGTTAGGTCAAGATTACATCGGTATTGCGTAATGCTAATGCTGTAACCTTCAAGCCTTGTAAAAAATATTTTATGAAAAATAATTTTATTGTAGTGTTTGGAAAAGCTTTTGATATCAGCTATTAGATTCTGGAATCAAAAATAGGATATGCCATTTAAAAAAATGTAACCTTGACCTGATCTTAGCGATGCCATCCAAGATTAGACTGACCAGATCAATGAATACACTATTTAAAACCCTACAACTTTTGTACGAAATATTTTTTTCGGAAATGCTTAGTTTTCGAGATATTTTACCGGTCTGGAACTTTTTACTCATCCTGTATATTTAATAAAATATAAAAGATTGATAGATTGATTTTCCGTTAAGGATACATTGACACAATGATACACTATGAACTATATTTTTATAATAATGCATGTTCTTAATAAATGTTGGACTTTACAGTTGATGCCATAATTGGCCAAAATCTATTTAAATATAAGATTTTCTCTGCTTATTGGTACAAAATTCATTATCTATTTTAACTTATTGAAAAAAATTTATTTACTCAATAAATTCATAATAGCATTATCGATACGTAACTGTTTATTGTCTGCATTTATATACGAAATATATACGAAATTCATTTGCCTTCCTCTTGATTTTTTCCTTATTTAAAAATCTCAAAAATAATCTATCGGACTTGAAATTGCGCAGCAAACTCCACTAATTGTGTTTATGTACAGTTTTGATTAGGGATATCTGGAAAGTATCCGAGATCCGGTATTATCCGGCACTTTTACTATCCGATCAGATAGCTGGATATTATTAGTATTTGGAAATATATCCGGTTGAATTTGATATTAAATTCTTGATTTTTTCCTATACAAATGTTCTAGAAACAAGTATGCATATTTATAATGCTGTAATATGTTATTGCAAAAATACAATCTTTTTCTCTATAGGTTTTTTCTCTATAGGTTTTTTTTTTAGAAGACACTTTCTACAAACCCGGTCAGATATTCAGAAAATGTCGGATATCCGACTCGAAGAAATCGCCTTCTCGAAGCGGATACCGGATATCCGATGTTATATTCTATCTGAATATCCGATAATTTTACGATCCAGTGCATCCCTAATTTTGATTTAACAATTGCTGTAGTTTATCTTCAAATTTTTGAGGTTTACTGGAACATTCAGTCACTCAAATCAATCTTTAGAAAAAAATCTTTAATATTTTTTACACGCTGTATAAGTTACCTTCACTTAGAATAGATCATCTCGCTGTATAAGTTACTCTCACTTAGATCATCTCGACTACTAAAAAATGTGATATCCTACGTATTTTATCACGTTCGCTACTATTTTTCTTTTTTTAGATATATCGTTCTGCCACATATCATATTATGAACACAAATGACATTTTAAAACGCAACGAGAAAATATTGAAATTAAAAATAAATTAAAAATAACGAATTAATTTACGCATGTAATGTAAAAAACTGTACTTTAATACTATAGTAGTGATAGATAATCGCGAAACGATAAAAGTGTTTAACAAAAAAAAAATTATGTATGTAATATGATCGGACGTAACATAAGTAAATGATTAATTCCGTCAGACTATAGTGACTGACGCTAATTGCCGTCTAACTGAACTGAAATCTTACATCCGTAAATCTATGTAGAACAGATCTTTGAATGATATAATCAATTAGTAAGCTAATGTACCAAGATATTACATTACACCATACAAATGCGGCATGTCCATTAAGAAACTGCAGGAAGATCTAAGAAAAGACACAATTATTCATTTGAGTAACTTTGTAAATTACGCAATTAGATTGAATTTGTAATACTTTGTGAGTTGTTTACCAATCAGTTGTTTATCAAGACATATTATACATATAATTATGTAATCAAATTTATATAATTATATGTCATATGAGGACAGAATGAAAATGAGAGAGAAAAAAAAGTGTCATTTATTATGAGCTATTCTGTTACAAGTTTTCTTAAGAAGTAAAGCAATACAATAAATTTCAGAGAAGATATAATTGGCAACAATAAAATATTGTTTTTTGAAGTTTATTTTCGAATATTTATTAATTAATGAATATTTCGCTAATGAAGCGTCAAATCTTTCACACTAGACAGGCATACATGGCTCTATACTCTACAAAATCAAGTTTTATAATGATATTTGTGAAGACTGCCTAGCAACAGTCAGTATAAAGAAAGATTAATATTACGACCTGTAGATGCCAAGCGTAAGAGGTCTATAAAGCTTTATTAACATACAACAAAAGAGAAGTTAAATACGTACTCAATATAACTTCAATAAAGTTTGAGATAGAAAGAGAGAGAGAGAGCGAGAGAGAGAGAGAGAGAGAGAGAGAGAGAGAGAGAGTGAGACAAAAGGAGAATTAATACTTATTTATTATACTTGTATAATTATATAAACGTATATCTTTATTAGTAAAAAGGAAAAAGGGCTACGAGCCTAAAACATAAATTGACAAACTGTATAAACAGTTAAAAAAAAAATTGAAATAAAACTATGTCATAAAATTAAAAACGTAAAATATAATTTGACAATCAGAAGGTGAACAAAACAAACGTTTCGATCCTTGTTGGATCATTTTCAATGTGACAAATAAATTAATGTGACAAATAAATTAACAATGGTAATTAACAATAGAGTTATAACGTAGATAAAAACATAAGAAATTAAGTAAAATTCGCATTCGGACACAAAATTAACTATAAAACTCGCTCCAAATTGAGAGGAAATCAAACAAACGATTATAGTTGACAAAAATGTGTTCCTCCGAACTGTGTGTGTGTATAAGGACGAACATGTTTCTTATGTGTGTGTCGAAATGATGTATTATCGATTAGGCAATGCAATTGGAATCGAAATTGATCATCTCTCTAAGAAGCTAAGATATAAAGTGTACATCTTTATTATATCTTTATATATCTTTATTACTTACTCATCACTGATAACTTATCATTTAATAATTTATACGTATCTTATTACAGATTTATATCTCATTTATGAAATTATAATTCTTAGAGTCTATTTTTTAATATAAAACAAATACTTTATTGATTCTTTATCGCTTTATTTTAGTTTCGGTTAAAATTATTAATAATAAATCTGTTATCACAAAATCTAAGCAAGTATCATAAATATATATGTATATATATATTATATATATATATATACATATATATATGTATATATATATTTGTTCGTGTATGCTCAAATTTGTGCTTCAGATAAACACACTTGCAATAATATTAGGTGTAGTAAAAAGAAATCCATTATTTTTCCAATAGATGGCTTTAGTAATCGCGTTCGCGAGATACAGACATTACTAAAGCCATCTATTGGAAAAATAATGGATTTCTTTTTACTACACCTAATATTATTGCAAGTGTGTTTATCTGAAGCATAGTCATATATCTGCTTGGATTAAATTTCTATTTATCTTACTTATTTATGAAATTGTGATGTAAATTAAAAAATTGACTGCGCGCACACACACACACACACACACACACACACACACACACGCACACGCACACGCACACGCACACGCACGCGCACACACGTAGAGTCAATATTTATAATTACATGATATAAGTATATAGTTATTTATTGTCTATTATACATATATTTCATAAAATTTTAGAAATTCATTACTGCAATTTGCAAATTGAAAAAATTTGTAGAATTCTATGAGAAGAAACTAAACAATTTTTATCTCTTGCAATTTTTTAATTTTGATGTAAATTAAAAAATTGCAAGAGATAAAAATTGTTTAGTTTCTTCTCATAGAATTCTACAAATTTTTTCAGAATTTTTTATCAACTTTTTAGTACTGCATTTTCTCATCTTTACCATGAGAAAATACGATATGAAAATATTCTTAAAAAATTCTTAGAGCTTTATGAAAGGAAATTAAACAATTTTTTTCTATTGCAATTTTTTTTTATGTTGATAGTATTTGAGTAAAAAATTATTGAAGACTAATTTTCGGCAATTTTTAGTAATTAATATCTTGTTAACTATTGCGAAAATTGCTAAATGGTAGAGGACTTTTCTTCTCAGTTTAGTCCATTCTGCTCCTATGCAAAAGATTTATGATTATTTTCCAAACACCCTGTTTGTGTATATAAACATACACAAATTAATTAACGAATTATCAACATTATACGCAGACTTCTTTAAAATATATCAAACTTGATAGAAAACATCATAATCTCTATCAATTTGCAAATCGCAGTAATGAATTTCTAAAATTTTATGAAATATATGTATAATAGACAATAAATAACTAAAATATATACTTATGTCATGTAATTATATAACATCATATTATATAAATTACATTTATTGAAAATTTGCAATGATTGACATGAATAATATATTGTTAGCTAAGTAATTAACAACGATAATTTTAAATTTTGCAAGTTCATATTTTTATTCAAATATAGTAAAGAGTCTGAAATCGTTATACATTGTAAAAGTAATATTTTCTTCTCTTTTAACAAATATGCTGTTACGAATGTATTATTTTCTATAAAATTCTTGAGAGAAGTATTCTTGAAAAAATATAAATATTAACTCTTTTGTGTATTTTCTTAGAAGTAAAAAATTAACTTTTCTTTTTTAACTAATCTTTTTAAAAGTGCATATTTTGTTAATACATATAATGAGTATAATAAAAAAATATTTTTGAAGCGGGATTATAAATTAGGGATCATAAACTCACTTACTAATTGCATAGACCTATTATATTTATGCCTGTTTAAATTGTATCAATTTGTTTCATTATATAATTGCAGACAAACATATCTATAAGCAATGCTTTACTAAAAATTATTAAAAGAAGTCACACTTATTTTAATAATTTTAAAAACTATTAAAAGAAGTAACAATTTACAAAACTTTTTTTTATTTTAAACCAGATAAGATAATCTTATATATTTTTAGTTACTGCAAAACATTGTTACTAGCTAATTTTCAACATTTAAATCCTTTATAATATGGTAAGATATTACTTAAAAAGTAAGATATTGAAATAAAAAATGCATTTTTAAAATAGGATGAATAATACATTTATGATTTCTAATTAGATTTTTAATACAATGTTAAAATTTTTTACACAAAAAAGTCAATTATTTAGTGAAAATCTGACATAGTAGTAAAATTTAGCTTGCGATATCACTTTTAGATTACAAAAATTTAACATCTTGTCTAGTTCAAAATAATTCTTAAATGTAAACTAGTGCAATTTCTCGAACATATCATTTCTATTTCCATAAAAAAGATAGTTTCCTAAACTAAGAAAATGTGCATTTATTAAAATGTACTGATAAATACATTACCGACAGCTTATCGGAAACATTATTGTACGTTCCGATAGCACACACGAATGACTAATGTCACGCTATTCTTCAGTCATCACCATTAACGAATAAACGATAGTAATGTTTTTGCTCTACGAATAGCAGAACTTTCAAGGATATTGAGGTACAAACAAATCTATATTATATATATAAGAGATTATATTAAAAAGAATTAAACTAAAAAGAGAAAAATTAACCTGAAAATCAGAACTGAACTCTTGAAAAAAGGAAAAAGAGGATTGTTGAAATGTTACAATTCGCTACAGTTATTCTTTTTAGGTTTCTGAGTATCTATGTATATAGATGCCAAGTTTAAGCATTACATTTTTAGTGATTGTGTAATGATCTATTTTCAATTTGTAACAGAAAAATTATAATTTCCTTGTGACTCTCGAAATACAGTAATGAAATTAAGACAAATGAGAATGTAATGCAATTGTTGGAGCGTGATTATTACAAATTATACTATTGTTTAATTCGTGCAGTATTTACTTGAATATGTATTTCAATACGAATATTTCGACTCTTTTTTTTTTTAGTCATCATCAGCGATACACAGTTCTTCAAATCTCTAGCACTTCCCTCATTCATGACCTTACTTCTAATCCATCAAAAATTAAAATTTAGTTTATATTAATATTAGATCATTTAAAAAATATCCACAGTTTTTTGTTCAATTTTTGAATGAAAAAACCGCGGATACTTTTTAAATGACTCAATAAATTAATAACAATATTAATAAATTAATTTTGTTTCGATTATCATATCGATATATCGATATTTTTTGATTTTATACAATAATCGAAACAAAATTATTAATATCGCTATTTAATTTAATATAATATAATAGTAATAAACAATATCGAGATACAATATCACACAACCACACAAATCATCAAAAAATTATGTATATTCCAGTATTATAAAAATTTCAAATATTTGATTGCGTTGCCAATATTGATGCAATTAGAAATTTTTAACATTGTAAGACGTATACAATATATTGCAAAAACTATGCACAATTGCTATTGAAATTATTATCATTATCTAAATAGATATAAAAATAAAAAATCCTCTTACATAAGTAACATAAATAAAGGCTTTAGATATAACAAATGTTAATTAAATAAAACGATATCCGAAAATCTAAATCATATAAATAAATTCCAATTATCTATTGATTTTACTGACGGCTATTATTGCAGATGTTAATCAATTAAAATAAGCGTATATATAATGCAGGACGTATCTATATATTTATAGTTTTGTGTATCACGAGTGTTTAATCGAAAAGTAAAACGTACTTTATTACTTTATTTGCAGATTAAGAAGAGTTTCTCGCAATAATTGAAAATGCTGCGCACGTTAATTTTGATTGCTGTCTTGATCACAGTGAAAGGTATGTGCAATGAAAAATAATATTTGGTATTATTTTAAATACATTTAAAAATGTTTTTGAAATCTTTCATGGCCAATGAAAAAAATTTCCGAGTAAAACAAATATTGGTAAATGTTATTTTCGGAGACCCAGTTCCAATGATCTTAATATGTTGTCAAGATCATGACTTTGAGTGACCTCCAACAGGTTTAATTGGCGGACGTTATTCGTTAAAAAAATTAACAAAAGAATTTTGAAAAAATAACGTCTTATTTCTGCATGTCTTCCACGCGACTCCCATTCCATTTCCTTCCCTCCTCCCTCCTCCATCTCCCCCCTGCTTAGAGACGCACGACTTCCACGCGAAGCAAAACACTTGGCCAAATAGGATGGAACTCGCTTCGCATGGAAAGTCGTGTGTTCCTAAGCAGGAAGGGAGGTGGGGTGGGAGTCGTTTCGCGTGGAAGTCGTGCGTCCCTAAACAATAATTCTTAAACTTCTTTTGTTATTACCTTATTAACGAATAACGTCCGTTAACTAAAACTTGTTGGAGATCACTTAGAGTCATGACCTTGACAACATACGTCAAAGTCAAGATCATCGGAGCTGGGTCCCCTAAAGTAAACATTTACCCAAACATTATAAATGTTATCAGTGTCATAGTTTTCATTACGTACATCTTTTTTTAAATTTCAATAAATACAATTTACTAATTACAAAATAATTATGTTCACTATTTCAAAAAATACATATGATATTGTTATAGAAAGAAAAATTGAAGAGATCTACTTATAAAAATTTTTTTTTTTTAGAAAATTATTACCTATTTATTATGTTATACATTACATGTTAATTCTGTACTAATTTTACACTTATGACGCATCACTTTACATAATTATTACATTATTATCTGTCAGTTATTTTTTTACGTTTTCGAACTCCTTATTTTAAAAGTAGTATGAGCTTAGTTTTGCAATGTCATGATTTGTCAAGTGTAAATTGCGGCGATATATTTCGGCAAAATTTTCGAAATTGTATGGCATTTATAATATATATTTAAAAAATAAACTTGAACTTGCGAATTTTGCATACAGCGTAGAGCAGATTTACTGAAATGAATTCAATTTCACGAAATAGTTTATAACGAGCAAAGTTTTTTATTCTGATATACATAGATAGATAGATAAATAGATAAATATCTTTATTTGTACAGCGCTCTAGGTAAAATACTTTTCAAATATACTTTTCAAATATACTTTTCAAATATACTTTTTAAATATACAAAGACATTACTACAGAAATAGTAATAGTTAATGCAGAAAATAAGAAAAATAATATTTTATTAATTAACAATTATACTTATTAATGAATAATTAAAATAATTAAATATATATTTATGTTAATTATTTATTAATAAGTATAATTATTAATTAATACGGTATTATTTTTCTTTGTGTGCGTGCGCGCGCGCTCATCTTGGCTTATCTTTAATTGAATCAGTGACACAGTAAGGTCCTATCGAGAAGCCGAATTATTCAATGCCACTTATCCTGATTGTAATCTAATTTTAAAATCACTGTTTCTGAAAAATCGATACAATTACAGATAAGTCAAGATGAGCGTGCGCGCACGCACGCACGCAAGAAATGTAACTCTTTCTTCTGAATAACAATATTCAAATAATCAAAGTTCAAATAATAGCTCTACGAAAAAAAATCATGGAGACCTTGGTCAGTATTGTTCTCGTCTAGAAAATTGATCCCTTTCAAATGACTCCAGATGCCATTTAAGATTTTCAGGCCTCCTTTTCCCTTCTCCCCTTGGGAATGTTAAGGTGAGTATTTTTGAGGTTCAGTGATAGATTTTACGATCCCATTGTATCCCTGTAAATTTCAATCCTATATCTCACACCGTTCAGAAATTATTCAGGTGGCCCGGGACTTTTGGCGGACACTGTACAGGGTGGGCCATCTATTGGTACGTTTTTGAATTTCGTCGTATGGCAACACCGAACGAGCTACAGACCCGAAATTTTGACAGTTTATTAGTCATACCGTCCGCGGCACGAAACAACATGTTTTCTCTTGAAGAGCGTTTTGAAATTTTAAAAACTTATTTTCAAAGTCAGTGCTGTGTCGCCGAAACTGTACGAATTTTGAAAAGAAATATGGGTCGTGATAGAGCACCCACCGAAGGAGCTATACGCAAATTGGTGAGGAAAGTTCGTGAGAAAGGGATGTTAGTGGATGACATTATATTACGACTGTTTTGAGTGAAATTGGCGCCGAGGTAGTCCAAAATGTCATTAATAATTGGGGTGACCGAATGGCATACTGTAAGGCCAGTAGAGGGAGCCACATGAACGAAATCGTTTTTCATTCTTGACGCGGATACTTTTAGCTTCACAACAAAAAAAAAATTAATAAAAAATATCAATGTATGCTCATTTGATCGCATTTTTAAAAACGTACCAATAGATGGCCCACCCTGTATATATACAAAGAAAAGTGAAACCATTTCCAATCCAAAATCAGAACACACGAAATTAATACGGTTATAAAGATAGTTGCACAGTTTAGTCTTGGAATACATAAAAAAGAAAGAGAGGAAGAGGGAGATGGGGGGAGGGAAGAGAGAGAGTGACGTTTGATACTTCTTCTATCAAAGCTTCGATATTTTTAAAAAGACTTCTACAATGTGTTAATTAAAAAAGCATACATGGCAATTTAAGTGTTGAAACATATAATTGAATGTTTTTCTTTCCATTACAGGAGACGAATGTATACCACGTTCATTCGGGAACAATTCTATAGTATGCGTCTGTAACTCGACGTATTGCGATACAGTAAGCAAGCAAAAATTACAACAGAACCAGCTTTTATGGTACACATCCACTCAAGATGGCAAAAGAATGCAATCGTCCATTATGAATTTCTCCGCCAAAAATGAATCTGAAATCGATCTGGTTCTCACAGTGGATATTAATCAGAAATTTCAAAAGATACAAGGATTTGGCGGAGCAATGACCGACGCCGCTGCACTCAACATTAAAAGTCTTAGTAATAACACTCAACAAATACTACTTGAGTACGTTATTGGCATTATTAATTAAAAGTACAGAGCGATAACATTAATCGAAAAAAAAATAAGACCGAGGAACGGAATAAAGCTCTAGACAATGCGAGGCAACAGCGACAAGAACAGTATAGTATAGAAATAAGAACAGTATAGAAACAAGCGATACATAATTGTCGCTTCCCGTCTATAATGCTGCGGAAAAAATAAAAAAAAGTTAACCAATCTGATCGCTGATAGACTGCAGTATTAGGCTAAGGCTCTTAGTGAAAATTTTTTGGGAATTTTTCTTTGCGCTACCCTCCCCCCCCCCCCCCCCCCAATTTGGTTCCATTTTATAAAAAATAATCTGTAAAATTTCAGCTCAATAGAATAAAGAGAAAGGATGCCCCTGAGACTTTAAAAATAAAAAAATCATAAAATTACGGAAAAAATCAAGTTTATTTGTTTATCTTGTGAAATATTAATTATATACAAAAAGTATTATACAAAAAGTTGTAGATCCACTAAAATTGCGCGTATTATTGACTACTTGTTTTTCTCATACAATTAACGATTTCTGAGAAAAATGTGAAATATAAATTAATTCCTAAAGACTCCTTAATGTTACAAAATGGTTGGATACAACAGGACAATAGAAATCAAGCTCAGTAATTCTTGTGCAAACCAAAGGGTTAACAAAATAACGGATTAATTATTAATAATTAATCCGCTTACATGGTTCGACTCACTTTTGAGTCATCCTCAAAGACAGTATGATATTGTAATTATAAAAAAAGCTTTTTCTTACAAACTAATTCATTTCAGTGAGCCACTTCCATTAACTATTAATGGAAACTATAATAGAAAAACTCTAATAACAATCTAAAATGTATTAAAATTATTAAAAGGTAAACTTTTTGAAAACAAAAACCATTTATTGTAAAACAATAGAAGATAACTCATTAAAACAAAAATTCACCATATCGCAAACACTTAAATTCTTTAGTCAAAAACTAGTCTTTGACCATTCAGCAAATCAGTGTCAATTATGTTGAAATAACTTTTAAAACATCTAAAACATTAATCGCAAATAAAAAGAAAAAAGAAGGGAAAAACTCTGATATTAATTATAGTCCAGACGGACATCAAAACCAAAACTGAATTTTTAATAATTTAATTTTAATGTAACGAAGAATACACTGACTTAGCTGGCAATAACAACGCTCCAATATTTACAGTTGGAAAGTAGGCCTTGGGAAGCCCCTCCAAGTCTGTCTCCTAATGTGTAACATTTCTGACACCAATCTCTTTCCGTACTGAGGTTCCTCATCCAAAATGAAAATAGTCAATGCTTTGGATCACGAAACACAATCATCAAATGAAAATGAGAAGCGAATACAAATACAAATCGATAAAATCTCAGAAATTATTAACAATGGAATTGAACAATTCGTTTCCAAAACTAGAGGATTTTTCGAAAAATTTAACTTGAATGATGAATTTCTTAAGACAAAACCGTTAACTTAATAATAAAAATAAAAGTAAAAATAAAAGTAAAAGTTGTCTAAAAGATCTGGAATTAATAATAAATAAATTGAAAGTTGTAAATGATTCGGCTGAGAGAGGAATCAAGCTTATGGAAAATTATAATAAATAATTTACGAAAGACGAGCCACAGAAACAGTATTATGCTTCAGATTGTAAATGATTATCGCCGAAAGTTTCCAGGTTATAAAAAGAGATTTTATATTAGCATCAAGATTTTGTAGAAAAAAGAAATGATTTTCACATTTTTCTCGGAAATCGTTAGTCGTACGAGAAAAACAAGTAGTCGATAATACGCGTAATTTTAATGGATCTACAACTTTTGTATAATACTTTTTTGCATATAATTAATATTTCACAAGATAAATAAAATTGATTTTTTTCTGTGATTTTATAATTTTTTCGATTTTCGAAGATCCCAGAAGCACCCTTTTCCTTTATTCAATGAAGCTGAAATTTTACCCTTTTTTTTCCCCCCCCCCCCATAAAAAATGAAATCAAACGGAAGGATAGCGAAAAAATTCAAACTTTGAAAATAAGCCCATCCTACTGCAGTATACTCTTGCATCTGCTCCAAGATTATAGCGTACATAAACAGAATGGAAAATCTGAACGCTGATTATAGGCTATAAGGCGATAGACATAGAACTCTAACTTCACAGAAATTTATCGGTATTGTCTTATTCTATGTTCCTATATGCAGTGACATATGCATTCCCGAATGTAGCTAAATTATTCTTAAAATATTCATAAAAAGTTCCTAAAATTCCCAAACGATTATTATATTCCAAGAGTATTCTACAATATTTCGAAATATTTATAGAATGTAAAAGCAACATTCAAATATTCAATTTGTATATCGTGTATACATTGATTATTGATTATATATATTGATTAAAAATTCCATTTATATAACGTTACATATTCTAAGAATGTTCCATATATGTTTCGCAACAATTTTTCCAGAAATTCCAGATCGAGTCATCCCTAAGGCCTGAATCAGTTTCAATTTAAGGTTAAGGTGAAAGTATGAAGTGTATTTTTCAAAGAAAAATTTTGTTTGAAACTGATTCAAGCCTCAGGGACGATCGTATCTGGAATTTCTATAAAATTTATAGTCGAAATTCTGCGCTTCTTATATTCTTTCCCAGATGATCCTTATTAACGAGTAAATACTCTCCGCAGCAATCCTATGTCGGTGGAAATGTTTACTGCTCGCAATTTTCGTGATATATACAAAGAATATTCGTACAATATTCTGAACATTTCATCGACATTTTTGTATATTCTATGACGATTCTTTCACTGAAATTGCCAGAATATTCGGCACATTAGGAATCGAACTTTCTATTAATATTTATTATTAGCTAGGTGGATTCCTCTGTTTCTATCATTATCGTTACTTCTATCACTGTTATTTCGCATTGTGTTTAGGGCTTAAATCTTACGAAGGGAGGCTATAAATTGTTTCTCACCAATTTTTTCTATGAAATTTGATGAGCATGTTAAGTGTTCTTTTCTGATGTGATAATCTTTAATATTTATTCTTCTGCGCTGTTCTTTTTGAAACACAAATGATTATTATCTTAGTGAGAAATAATAATGGAATCAATGTTGATTCGACATCGTAAATCATCAAATCGACGTCGATTCGACATTGTTATTTCTCACACAGCACAGTATACTATACCATACATCATATGATTATGTCATGACGATAAAAATAGGTTGAAATTTTCCATATGTCTCTTACGTCATAAATATTAGGTATAGTAAAAAGAAATCCATTATTTTTTCAATAGATGGCTGTAGTAATCTGTATCTCGTCTACGCTTGATACAGATAAAGCCACCTGTTGGAAAAATAATGGATTTCTTTTTACTACACTTAATATTATTAAATCATTCGTATTAATTAAGGACGATTTGGCGCTGTAAACGATGCGCAATATTCTATTATAATAATTTTAAAACTTTAATTATTTAGGATTACAAAAATTTTCAAAAAATTATTACATAACTTTCCTATACGTTTCGATTATTTTAACTATCTTCAGCAGATATACTTAAAAATTACTGCAGAAACAATATAATGCTTATGTAATATTGTTAACGTCTATGTAACTTTGTAGTGTTGATTATTCAGCGCAGATGCTTAAAAAAAACTATCAGAAATGAAATAATGCTTATACAATATTGTTACATGTCTATGTAGCTTTGCAATGTTAATTATATTTCTGGTTCAGTAGTGTACAAACTTTATAGAGATGCAGAAAATGGCTATGCTGTTCGACTAAGTTACCCGGCTCATTGGAAACATTTCTCGGAAACATTTTCTATCTGTACAGATTTTATTTATTAAATAACGTTGAACAGCAAACTAAAAAAAAATTTTTCTTTTTTCTGCTCATTGCCTGTGAACTACTACAATGATAAAATATCTGAATAGAATCGTCAGTTATTAAAATATTTAAAGAAATTTACTCGTCAGTTATCTTACAAGATCAGACATACAATGAGCAAAAATATTTCACGTGACAAAGAGTAGGACCATAGATCAACAATGACAAATGGAAATGACAATAAAAATAATATAAAGGCTGATTTAGATTTTGTTCAGAATGTCAATGTAAGTGCGATATAAACCTTCGGTGTCGTTTTGCAAATTGAGATCATTAGATTGTTGTTTAATATGTATCATTTCAGATATAATACGTTTGTTATAATAACTCTCAACGTCTAACACATTGTTGAATTAAATTCATAACTGTGATGCAACCTGTGTTCTGTGATAACCGAGTGAGAGAGAGTATTCTATGTGTTTTTGATGTTCATATACTCTAGTTTTTAGTTTTTTCTCTGTTTATCCCACATAGCATGCATCGCAATCCTTACAATCCTTGATTTTATATACAACGTTTCTCTTTTGTAAATTTGACAACGAATCTTTATGTACTCTGATGAATCTACTTAATTTGTTAAAAAATGAAATTCTATTTACACTATTATTGATAATGTTCATGAATCTTTCGGAAATGCCCTGTACGTATGGAATGCTGAATCATTAATTTTTTTATTGTCACATTGTCAGGTTTTTTATTCATTTTTATTTGCAGACTAGTTTTTTTTATAAGATATTCTATTCTATTTTTCATCGTTTTCATGATAAATTCCATGGAATAATCATTTTCTGTTAATATATTAACAAAAAATATGAAATTCATATTTTTTTCATGAAATTCCGGATGCGAAAGAAAAAATGTCCACCAGATCTAAAATTGTTCCCTTTTTTGAGACGTCGGATGTTGAGAGTAAAAATTCAGAAATCTTCCTGAAAATGTTAATTTCTGATATCAATCAAATTTAATTCTGCCTTCATCTATCATAACAGTAGTGTCTAAAAAATTTATTTTATCACTCTCCTCTTCCAAAGTGAACTGTAGTCTTGTATGATATGCATTGAAAATATCTAATATATTGTTAATTTCAGTTGAGGAGATGTATAGAAGGATGTTATCTATAATAAAATTGTATCCTGAAATTTATACTGCTTAACAATCGAATCTCCAACTCTTGCATGTTGCATGACTAAGTCCGTTGCCACTAGGGATAAAGGGGATCCCACTGAAGATCCAAATTTTTGTTTGCAGAATTGATCACCAAAAGAAAAAAACGTCGAATCTAAAATTCATTCTTATTGCCTCTAAAAATCTTTTTTAGGAATATTGCTGTAGTTTCATCTCTTGTCAATAGTCGCTATGACTAAAGCAAAAGGAATGTTGGAGAATAAAGACATGTCTAATGAGACTGAAACATAATCTGGGTCGATTCTGGTGTCTTTTAATTTGTTGACCAATTTGAAACTGTTAACAAAATTCGAATACTTCTAACGATCAATTCATGTAAAAATGTGACTAGGTTGTACAATGGACTATCTATTGATGAAATAATGACACGAAAAGGAAATCATCCTTATGTACTTTAAGTAACGCGTATGCTCTTGGTAATAAACCGTTACTGCAATGTAATTTTTGTATGTACTCTGAGATATATAGTCTGATTTTTTCCATCTCAAGTAACTTTTTCAATTTGTTTGTAATTATGTTCGTTGGAGTTTTGATCGATTCTCAGATATGTTTTGGCATCTTGTAACATTTCTTTAACTTTATTAATGTACTTGTTTTTGTCTAACGCTACAGTTATATTACATTTATCAGCCATTGTAAATATAATATTCTAGTTCTCTTACAAATTTTTTTGTTTTATAAGTTAACTTAATAAGTTTAAATTATATACTTCAGAGAACGTATAAAAAATTACATTGCAGTGATGGTTTATTACCAAGAGCATATGCGTTACCTAAAGTACATACATAACGATTGCCCTTTTCGTATCATTATTTCATCAATAGATAATCCATTGTACAACCTAGCCACTTTTTTACATGAATTGATCGTCAGGAGTATTCCGAAAGTTTCGAGTTTTGTTATAATAATAATTTTGTTATAATAATAACTTTGAGTTATGATGCGTGAAAGTTACAGTATCGCTGATATTAGTATTATCCAAGGTGTCCAATCAACGGCTAAAACTTTTTGAATGCTGTTCGGGATCATGTCTTGGATTTCACTTATCAAAATCAAAGCCAAGGAGGTTATCTCATTTTTATTTTTACGTAAAAATGAATTTTTAGTGTAAAAATAAAAATAAGAGGAATAATCTCCTTTGATCTTAATGTTATCCAAGACATTATCTCGGACAACATTCAAAAAGTTTTAGCTGTTGGTCGGACATCTTGAATGCTAATGCCAGCGGTGCTGTAACTTTCAAATCTTATAACTCGAAAAGTACGTAATTAAAAATGACTTTATTACAGTGTTTTGAAAAGTTTTTAATACTAGCTGTTAGATTCTGCCATCAAAAATAGGGTGTTCCATAAAAAAAAATCGATGTGATCTTGATCTGACCTTGACAATGCCTCCCAAGGTCAAATCAATGGTACCCTCTCCGAACCATACAACTTTTGTTTGAAATATTTTCCGTATCTATCATAGTTTTCGAGAAATTTAATGCATTATTTAAAATAGAACATCCACATATTTGCTGAATGATTAACATTGCAAACAATACAAAAAGATAAATATAATAAGATTTGTTTTTAAAAAAAATGTCAGATTAACAACGCTGCATTTTTCTCAATTTGCGAGTGACTTAGGCATTATGGACATATGAGCTAATTATACAATACTTGTATCATTCTTACTGAGGAGGACTCCAAAGAGAGTCGAAACGTTCAAAATGAAGAAGATATCAATCCAATATCTGAGTATTGGTTGTTCACTAAATAATTGCGCCGTTTATCGTTGCTGCCTCTCATTAGCCTATTATATCTTTTTAAAATTCGAGAGTCCTAATATAATTATTGTTATTGTAACATTGCAAAGTTACATAGATATTAACATTGCATAAACATTATATTGTTTCTACGGAAATTTTGAAGTATATCTGCTGAGGATGACTAAAATAGATAGCTGAAACGTACGGTGTAATCCTGAATTATTAGTTTTAAAATTATAATAGAATATTGCGCATCGTTTACAGTGCCGACTCCAAATTGTCCCTTGAATAATACAATTTTGATTGAAGAATAATGAGTCCCAAAAACTAATCAATTTATTTATATAGTTTTAATTATAGTTTATATTAATATTATTAAAATTTATTCTGCCCTATATTTTTTCTGTTATATAAAGCCAATTAAATTTCTTAAAACACGATAAAGAAAACAAAAAACGATCAAATTTGGATGTTTCAAATAATACATTATATATTCTTATATTAAATTAATTTATTTCAGATATGACAGAGCTGAAAAACTTTCAGTTTCAACACAATCATTCTGAAACGCTAATAAACTCTCCTAAATTAGAATAGACAGAAAGAAAATAAGAAACTTATTGCGGAAAATATTATCTCAGCCAGGATCCTGTAATTTTCCACAATAAGTTTCTTACTTTCTTTCTGTCTATTCTAATTTAGGGGAGTTTATTAGCGTTTCAGAATGATTGTGTTGAAACCGAAAATGTTTCAGCTCTCAGTCATATCTGAAATAAATTAATTTAATATAAGAATATATAATGTATTATTTGAAACATCAAAATTTGATTGTTTTTGGTTTTTTTCGTATTTATATGTATTCACATATACGATCGTGCTTAAAATTCTTAAATTCTCTTCTACTATTAATATTTCTTAAAACGATTTCTGAGAACAATTCAAGTAATATAATTAATATACGAAATTCAATTAAAATTCAATTAAAATATGAATCCCAATTAGAATTAGTAAGAAAATTCTAATAGACTTCTAATAAAAAATAAGCAAAAGCTTTTTCCAATTATTAATCATATATGTATATACATTAATTAATAAATATAATTCTATAAGTAGTTACAGAATAATTTTTCAAGTAGAGCATATTAATTCTATTCTTGGTAATAACGGAATTTCATTATCTCATCAGCTGATAGAATAGAAACGAATTAAAAGCATAAATTAAGATTCTTTAGTAAAAGATAAATACTTCTTATGTTATATTATCGAGCAGTGCATTAATTGTTAAAATTTGAAACATAGCAATTCTTTGGATAAAATGATTTATCAATATATCAGTTCTTATAAAATTGTCATAAATTTATCTAACTGGATTTCATCCGTTTCGATGATAACCTCTCATATATAGTTATTTCTAGGTCGTATTTTGGTTCCAAGGGTATCGGATACACATTTACTCGTATACCTATCGCAGGTACCGATTTCTCAATGAGACCATATACATACGACGACGTACCCGATGATCTTATGTTAAGTCATTTCGGACTTGTGGAGGAAGATGATTACAAAATCAAATATCTACATAATATCAAAAAAATTATGTCTAATCCAGATGAATTTAGAATCTTAACGACTGCATGGAGCGCGCCTGCGTGGATGAAAAGTTCTAAAAGTATAACTTGGGGTAAAGAAATATTAGATGAGACAATATCCTGCATTAACCAGGAAAAAATTTACACCGGAAAGCTTTAAAGTGTTTATTATACGACTAAAATATTGAATTTAAAAAATTTACGAAAATTTATACTTTATTAAAATTTTGAAAAGATTAATTACTTATAGACAAAAGTCTATTATAATATTATATATGTATATATGTATATACGTAAAACAGGCAGAGATAGAGTAAATGATACAGAAACTGATTAATTTAAAATCAAAACTTTACATTTTGTTTCTAAAGTATTTTTTAACGATAATTTTAGCAAATATCGCTTTAATGTTTAAATGCATAAAATTTTTCGGTGTTTTATTTCGTAAAAATAGTATCAAAATGTACAATCAATTGAAATAATTTTAAAAATATTTTTCAACAGTTAAGAAACGCTAAAAAAGATATTAGCTTTGAGTCAGTCATATTTAGAAAGCAAATAGTAGTATTTATTAATAAAATCTTTATTTATTAACAAAAGCACTAAACATAAGGATCTGCAGTCATTTTAGATTATTGTTATCAAGTATCCAAGAACGCAAAGATTTACATACATTATATGTATACGTATTGAATAGTGAAAAAAATCAAGTTTTCGTTTTATAAATTAATAGTGAAAAAATTAAGAGTTTCATTCAACTTAATAAGAACAGGATTCATATTTGTATGAATGAAACGATATAGCATAAATTATAAATAAACTCTACAATTTAATTTTTAATTCTTTTTTAAATCCAAAACAAAAGATAATAACTGATCTATTTTATTTCGCGGTCTGTCTTACTTCATTCTCTGTAAATATTTTGATAACATTTCTCTTTAAAAAAAATCTTTACAACAATATCATTAATGTTATCAATGTTACAAAAAAAAGACGTTTTTATTTCCAAAATAAATTTAATTTAATTCAATATTTTCGTCTCTCTCTCTCTCTCTCTCTCTCTCACTCTCTCTTTCACTCAAATTATTTGTAGAAGCTATTATATTTTGCTTTATATTATTATTTATAGATACCCAAACAACAAAAAGTCCAAAATTGTGACATAAGATATCCTTAAGTCATCTTTTAGACGCAAAAAAACATCTTATGATCTGAGATACTTTTAGATACTTTTTGTTGTCTAAATAAGTACTAAGTGCTAGAATAATTAAATATGAGATATTGTAATATATGATATTCTCGATAGGTATTTTAAAATCTGAATATTATCAACTTTACGCTGATTATATCGTAAAGTTCTTTGACGCATATAAGGAACGTGGTATAAATATATGGGGCATAACACCTGGCAATGAACCATTAAATGGATTTATACCATTCTTCACTTTCAATTCCATGGGTTGGACGCCTAACACTTCTGCGGTTTGGACCGTGAAACATTTAGCTCCGACTTTGACTAATGCTGGATATAATCCTCTCTACATAGCGATGGACGATCAACGCTTCGAAATCCCGTGGTTTACCGAGTTGATGTTTGAGTATCCAAAAACTAAAGAACTGTTCTCTGGCACTGCGGTCCATTGGTACGCTGATGAAATATTTTCACCGATTAGACTGTCTCAATTGCATGATAAATATCCAGACAAGTTTATACTGATGTCCGAAGCATGCACCGGTATGTATAATTAATTATATAGAACATAGATCATACTATAATAATTAAAAATATACTTCTGCGCATGCGAATCTTTCTTTAAAAAATCTACAAAAAAAAATTCGTGAAATTTTCGTCTCATATAGGTAGCAGTCCCTTTAACAAAGAAAAAGTAATATTAGGATCATGGAAACGAGGACAAAAATATGCCTTAAATATAATCGAGGTTTGTATACGTATTTAATATTATTTGATAATATTAATCTATTCCAAACGCGTTTATTTAGTTTTTAATTTTATCTGCCTAATATAAAGAACATTTCCAATTTAATTACGAAATAAGAATTACGTTTAATTATAAATGTATGACAAAAAAACTTTTGAAGGCACTGAAGTTTAATCAGAAAAGTATATATTATTTGGTTAATCCGTTTTATGGTATTAAGAAATTTTATTACAGCATGAGATATTTTCATTATATAAAAGATAAAAGTAATATAAATCATATATGTAATAAAAGTACTTTGAATTATGTATAATATTAATAAGATTTACAAATTATATTTCTAGAATTTATCACATTGGATGGTTGGATGGATAGATTGGAATATGGCACTCGATGAGTATGGAGCACCAAACTGGGCAAAAAATTATGTGGATTCACCAATCATCGTAATGCCGCAAACAGACGAATTCTACAAGCAGCCTATGTTTTACGCAATTTCTCACTTCAGCCAATTTGTGCCGCGTAATTCTTACAGGATTTTATCTACGGGTCTTGAAGACAATCCAAACATTAAAACAATAGCGTTTTTGACGCCCGAAAATTGTATTACTGTCGTGGCTGTTAACAAGTTAGTAGAAAATATTTTATACCGTCACATTAATTATTTATAGCAGTCATATTATGACTGCTTTCCAGCAAGGACACAATCAGATACTGTGTAACATAGTGAATCGTTTCATCTTTGTTTAACGTAGAACAAACAACAAAGATATAATGATTCACTGTGTTACACTGTGTCTGATTAGATCCTTGCTAGAAAGCACTCTATATATGTAACAAAATTTTTCAAGAAAATGTATGACAATCTTTTTTATATTTTTTTATTTATTAATTTTTTAATTTTTTAAATCTTTTTTACTTATTTTACTTTATTTTAAATTACTATAATTATTTTTTAATAATTTAATAGATTTTAATCTTAAAATATTGGGTCATTTAAAAAGTATCCGCGGTTTTTTAATTCAAAAATTGAACAAAAAACTGCGGATATTTTTTAAATGACCTAATATATAATTTGGAATTTTTGTTTGCAGAGCTTACACTCCTTCCACTATAACAATAAAAAATAAGAATAAAAATAACGTAGTAAATGTATGCTTACCTGCCAAGTCTTTCAATACATTGTTGTATTTGGCGCAAGAATAATGTAGAAAAGTCAAAATCATAAAACTTTAACATTGTTCCACACATTGTATGAACTTTTCACAAAGGAATAAAGATTATATGTTGTTAATATTATGAAGTATATTGTATGGTATTGTATACATTACAATAAAAATTAATAATTGTCTTTTATACAATCGCTATTATATTTAATTCAATATAATAATTATTTGTATTTCTAATTATGGATAATATGTTTTTGCCCATCGTCCTCTATTTCTCTTTTTGGGATTTGCTCGTAAACGTCTTGGTATATAAGCCGGTTGATGATCATCTAATGTACGTTTGTACATTTTAATGCCAAATTCCCAAGGTTCTCGTTTCTTATCCATTGGACGGGTTTTATGTCTAATAATATAGATTTTTTGCCAATCATATATTTCCGGTATTCGTCTAAAAAAAGATATAACAAATTAATAAATATAAATATAATTACCTTTTACTATATATCAATTAACATTAAAAATATAGTAAAAAGGGTATAATTATTATTAAAATATAATTATTAAAATAACTTTAATGTTATTTTACCTGTGCCTCGGCCTGTTAGCCACTAGATGCTTATACTGTTTTTCGAGCCAATTTCTTCTTTCATCATGTTCTATGTCTGCTATTACTTTCACGGATTTTCCTAAATATGGTTTTAAATTTACGCCTACTCTTTCTTCGGGAATATTCATGTAAAACTTAATTAAAGTTTTGAGAACTTCTTCATTTAAACCATGAACTTTATCATTTTCTATTTTATCAAATAATTTTATTGGTTCTGTAATCCAACATATGTTGCGCTTTAAATTTTCATCCGCGTATTCAGAATGCACTAAAGTAGTATTAAGTTGATAAACGAAAAATGACCACCATTGTCCATTTGTTATAATCGTCTGAGTAGTTAATGGATACGTAATATCATTAAAAGTAGAGAAACCTGAAATTTTACAGATGTGTAAAACTCGAAATTCAAATTAATATCTAAACTATAACTTTAATACGTCATTATTTTATACGTACAGAGTCTTATTACTATTTATTAATTATAACTTTAAACTATAAAAGTACCTTGATAACAGGCTTGTGACAATAACCAGCTGTAAGATGCTAATACAGCCTGTATTGTGAGTGCTGCAGATGTATCATTATATTTTTCTGGCCTTGTTTGCAAGTACGTGCAATTATGATATGATAAAAATCCGAATTCATTTTCATCGCCAGGCCAAAATCCAGGTATATTAGTTAAATGTTTTTTTTCAAGAGTATAAGTTAATACCTTGGGATTCAATTTGAATGTAGGTACTTCCAAAGCTGAATTTTCACAATCGCTTAAGGGAATGATCTGTCGCAGAGGATGCTTATGTCTCAAATGTACGACAGGTTGACCAAAATATTGAACAGGCAAATTTACTGAGTCATCAACAAATTCCTTCAGAAATTTAACAGATTTTCTGAAATTCCTTACAAAATTAGGGGGGTTTAAACCACCCATAAACCAAGATGCTTCTAATCTTGGTTCAAAATCAACTTCGGTATGTAATAAATGTGGATTTTCAGAGGTAAGGTGTATCAGCATTGTTCTATTAATTCTGTGAATTAATGCTTTAGATATAATTTTTTCCATGTTTATTTTCCTGTCTGAAGCCTTAATGTTTTCATCCAATGGAAATTTATCTGCTTTTATTTCATGCTCTCTTCTGCAATATTATAATTATTATATATTAAAAAGAAAAATTTTCAAATATTAAAATAAGACATATATATTAATTAACAGTGAATAATCAGATAATTAATTATAGTTTATAGTTTATATATTACATTATGAAGAAAAGAATATTCAATTCATAGAAATATCTACCTTCTGATGCAATATTCAAAAATTATGTTATCCTCTATGTCACTCTTGATTGATTGTACTATTCTATCTAATTGTTCGGTAGAAATTACAGTATTATAATATGCTGGTAGACCAAATTCCTTGACAATATGTGTTCTTGTAAAATATTGCGCATGTGACAAAGAATTATATGGTATAACATGTTCCTTTAGGATTAGTGACTTCCAGCCATAATAACGTGGCATATTAATCTTGAATAGCTTCTCCTCTACAGTTTCTAAGCTCTTGATTTTCTCATGCCAAGCTTGTCTTTTCCTTTTGCACTTGGCTTTAAAGCTTATATTTTCAATGGATGGATATATCGGTTCTACATCTTTGGTTTCACTTTTAACTTCGCTGATAGCTGATATACTATATTTTTTCTGTTTACCATACTTGATTACCGTATTAAACAATAGTTTCTGTCGAATATGAGCAAACATATTTCTAAGCAGAAACAACAAGACTTTTCAAAACTATTTAGTGTTTCCACGTTTTTTAACACATATACATCTAGAAGTAACAACTCAAATTTTATATATTGCCCAATTAGCCGACTTAAATATTGTGAACTAATTCATGATCATTTTGATTCAAAAAATATTCTACAGAGAAATATGGATATTGATTAACTGTAGTATTTATAATGCGTATTTACATACATCAATCATCAGTTCGTACAGGTTATGTTATAACTTGGAATTGTACACTTTAAATATCAGTTCCACTTCTTAATTTATCATATGATGTAAAAAATAATGGTAAAATAGTCGACATTGATTAACAATGACTTCAAAAAAATCCTCTTTTTTGTAGCTTTAGCCTCGAAATACTGCAATTGTCAAAAAATTAAAGTGCCATTTCATATAGCAAGTTTCGCTGGCGAAAATCCCCACTCCGTTCGAGCGAAAATCCCCACTCCGTTCGAGTGAAAATGCATAGTGAGCGAAGCTTCGCTCATAGTTCAACATTGGCCTAGTTTCCACGAGGATTTAAACCAAATCAGAATGTAAGAACCAACCAACTACAGTTGAGCATTCTCCTGTCGTTCGACTGTAACAGGAGAATACTCGACTGTAGGTGGAAACTCGGTGGAAACCAGACCACTACTGTCGAACTATGAGCGAAGGAACGCAGCGAAGCTTAACCTGCTATCTCTGCTTTCCGTAATATAAATATTATGAAAATGAAGATCTTCTAATTCTAATGTCGGAATTGATGCAAAGTAAAAACTGCGCTGTCATTGCAATTTTCGAAGATAGGCGCTATCTTAATACTTTTTTTTAGTATATTGCCGTTTTTATTTTCCATATATAATGTAACAGCAGCTGCTGCAGCTATATGTCGTCTTTTAATCTCTAGTTCTACAATTAAAATTGTACGTTTAAACTGTAATTTAGGTATTCGTTATTTACAATATATCTCTTTGTCTGCAGTAGTCTTTTTTATCGCAATAATATGTTTTCAACAATTTGATACAAATAAAATGTATTAACTATCAAACGACCCGGTAAAAAATTTTTCATACACGAATATATGTATATAAATATGTATAAACATATATATAAACATGTAAATAAATATTCATAAATATATACATATATCTAATTATATATGAAATGTGTTTATAAATGTCCATACATGTTTCTTTTTTTTGTAAAATTACTTTTTAGTGTAACAAAATTAATAATAATAATAATAATAAGATATGAAGAATAATCAAAAGGATAATTTTCGCATTATTTGTTTTAGAAGAAATCAAGTTTGGACAAATATAAAAAACTGATATAATCACATGTAACATTATACATAATTATGTATAAATAATTTTTTTTGCATTTCTCTAAACTTGATTTGTTCTAAAACAAACAACGCGAAAATTGTTTTTTTAATTATTTTTGACATTTTTTCATTATTAAATTATTTTTCTTATATTAAACAGTAATTTTATAAAAGAGAGAAGAATATATAAATATATATGGACATATTTCATATATAATTATTAGGTGTTGGAATTAATTCGTAGCGTTTTACAAGTGATGGGAAGTACTTTCATTAATATATTTTTTAATGCTCATGTGAAATAAATAACATTCTTTCATTAAAAAACGCTACGAATTAATTCCAACACCTAATATATGTGTATTTATACATATTTATATAGGATTACATAGGATTACATACAAAATGACAGCCAAATATTTTGTGCTGATAGAGCGGATTAAATATTAATTCAAAAAGTCCTTTATGATTTTATTTGCAATTTTCAGAATAGTTACAATATTAATTACTAAAGATTACAAGATATTAATTACCAAAAATCGTCGAATATTAATTTTCTGTGCTGTAGTTTTTTATGTTCTTTGTTTTCTATAATAATTATTAATTTTCAATCATTTTTTACTGAAGTACTATCACCTTTAGAACAATAGCAAGACAAAAATTGTTTATTTTCTTTTCATAGAGCTCTAAGAATTTTTCAGAATTTTTTATTAACTTTTCAGTACTGCATTTTCTTATTGGTAACTATTTTTAACGACATAACATAAAAAAATGTACTAAGAAATTCTGAAAAAATTCTCAAAACTCTTTGAGAAGAGAATGAACAATTTTTGTCGCTTGCTGTTTTTCTAAAAGTTGACAGTACTTAAGTAAAAAATTTTTAGAAGATTGCCAATATTTGGCGATTTTTAGTGTTAGGTGTACAAATAAGTTTTAAAGAGTTTTTAATGAAATTTAATATTTATTTATTTAGAAACGAAAACACACTTAATTATCAAAATAATCTCCATCATTATCTATGACCTTTAGCCATCTTTCGGGCAGCTGCGAATTCCAGAAGCGAAGAAGGTTTCGATGCGATAAAATTATCCACTCATTTTCGCACTTCTTCAAATGCTCGAAAGATTGTGCACCAGACAAAGCGTTTTGCATTGACCAGAATAAATGATAATCAGAAGGGGCTATGTCTGGGCTATACGGGTGCGGCAGAATTTCCCAACCAAGAGCTAGCAACATTTCCTTTACAGGTTTACCAACATGAGGCCTACCTGTCATGAAGCAATTTCACAGGACGTTTTCCTTTGCCAGTAAATGGACGATTTCGTTCGATTTCTTGATTTAAACGGATCAATTATTGATTGTAGCGATCATTGTTAACCGTTTCATTCGGATGGAACAGTTCATAATATAGTACACCCTTCATGTCCCACCACAGATGCATAGCATAACTTTGCTGCTGTGGATGTTGCGTTTTGGCGTTGAGGTAGTGGTTGTTCTGGATCCACATAATGTTTTCTCTTTTTAGGATTATCGTAAAAAATCCACTTTTCATGATTTTCCACAAGAAAGATTTTCTATGCTGTTTATTGTACAGATTCAAACATTTCTCAAGATGATCATTTTTGTTTTTTTCACTTAATGCATGCGGCACCCACTTT